CATAGCGACCCCTCCTTGGGTTTCCGAGGCAGTATCACTACGGAAGTAGGATTGCCCAACCTTCCTTCCGAGGAGTGGCTGATGGGTTTGAACCGCCAACCTTCTGGTTAGCAGTCAAGTGCTTTAGCCACTATGCTACCAGAGCTCCTGTCAGCTCTCTTAGTGGTCCCCAAAACTTTCCTCTAAGGATGTCCAAGGGCATCTAGGCAATTAAGTTTCTTTCTTTTGACATTTCCCCAGACACCCATGGGTAGTGAAGTCTTTTAATTTTCTAGCTTCAGCGACTCACGAAGATTGTCCAAACCCCGTTGTCTGAGTCCATTCAGACTCATAGCGACCCTATAGGGCAGTAGAACTACCCCCATACGATTTCCAAGGATGTAATTTTTACTTACTGCCATCTATTTCCTTCGGGAGTGGCTGATGGATTCAAATTTCAGACCTTCCGGTTAGTGACTGATGGCTTATCCAGTGCACCAGCAGGGCTCCTTGTGTGGACTGTAATCCATCAATATTTTTCTATTTCATGATGCCCCAAGCACTTATGGGAAACGTCAGGGATATGCTCTAGCAGTAGTTCTTAACAAGGACTGTACTTCAGAATCACCTGGGATGCTGCAAAAAGATGAATGTCTAGCCCCTACTTCAGATATTCTGGTTCTATAGGTCTGGGGTGGAGACCACACGTCTGCATTTTTTAAAAGCCTGTTCTAGACTGGATCTGGAAGGAGCCCTGGTGGTACAATGGCTAAACACTAGCCTGCATGACCTGGAAATCTACTCCCTGAAAGATTCCAAAAACCATCTCAGCGACCTTATAGGACAAATAGAACTGCCTCATAGGGTTTCCAAGGCTGTAAACCTTTATTGAAGCATAAACCAAAAACCAAACCCACTGCCATCAAGTCAATTCCAATTCCTAGGGACCCCCATGGGGTTGTGAGCACCATAAATCTTTTCAGAAGTAGATTGCCCCATCTTCCTTCCACAGAGCAGCTGGTGAGTTTGAACCACCCAACTGTTGGTTAGCAGCCAAGTGCTTAACCACTGTGCTACCCGGGCTCCTCTCCCATAGAGATTACAGCCTAGGAAACCCTATGGGGCAGTTCTATTCTGTCATATAGGGTCACTATGAGTTGGAATCGACTCCAAGGCATAGGGCACAACAGACTGGATCCAGGGTTGAGAACCCAAGGGCTAGCATTTGGGACTCTTGGGAATGGTGCCTCCAGTATCTTTATTTTGAATGTGCAGCAGTGCATCATGGGAATTATAACCCATCCCTTCCAAGGATCCATGGGAATTGTAGTTTGATCCTACTTCTCTCCCTCTATGGCTACAGCAATTAAGCTTCCCGCCTTGGCAGACCACCTCCACTCTTCCCTTGCAGCCTGCCAATTTTCTTCATTCAAGACAGCCCCTTTGGGGATGGTATCCTGGGTCAGAGCCACTACTAGCCATCCCAAAGCCAAAACTGGTACCCCAAGGTAAGGACACCCCACAGAATATGCTGTGCTCCAACCCAGTAGCAAGGGAGTGAAGGTTAAATGGAAGGAAGACGTGGGATGAGAGACGGAGGTAAGAGGTTAAGAGAGAATCCTCTTCCCTGCCCGTGGCTCTGCCCTTGTCCAGCCCTCTACTGCCTGTTCCCCCATCACAGTTCCCATCACTCTGGGTTGTTTTCATTGCAAGGTGTGGCTTTTCCCCCTGAACTGAGACTTCATGTGTGTCTTCATTCCTCTGTAGTAATGACCCCTCAGACCTCACTTTTTCCTGTCTCCTCCCTGTTGTAGGCCTTGAAGCCATCCTGGTCCCAGAGATCCAGACCCCCAGCACTTCCCAAGGCTCTAGCCACAGTTCCCAATCCCCTGAGCTGTTTGTGGAGTCCTGGCCATCCAGCTCAGGGACCCCTTCCCCACTCAACACCACAGAGGGACAGATGGGAGTTTCTCCACCACCGGCCCCAATAGACAGCCGGGACTCCGTGGTGGCAAAGTAAGTCCTAGCAGCCCTGGGGGAAAGGGAAAGTGTGGGTTAGAGGATGGCACAAAAAAAAAAAAAAAAAAAAAAAACCGCATTATCGTGAAGTTGGCTCTGACTCATAGCGACCCCTCCTTGGGTTTCCAAGGTAGTATCACTACGGAAGTAGAGTGCCCAGCCTTCCTCCGAGGAGCGGCTGGTGGGTTTGAACCTCCAGCCTTCTGGTTAGCAGTCTAGTGCCTTAGGCACTACACCACCAGAGCTCCTTAGAGGATGACAGGCATCCCATGAGAATCATCACCACCAGAGCTGTTTTTGCAACACTCTTAAAAGACCTGGCACTTCTTGTGTGTTATTAAGAGCTTAGCTCTGGAGCTAGACTGCCTGGGTTCAAAGTGTAGCTCTCTCCCCTACTATCTGTATGATTATGGTTTCAGCATCTTCATCTGTAAATTGGGGCATAGTAATAGCACCTGTATCCTTGGGCTATTTTGAGCTTTCAATGAATTACTGTATGTAAAGAATCTATAGCAGTGCCAGGAAGAAGTACAGCCATAAAGCTCCTTAGAAACAAGAATAGCCAGACTTCATCGCTCATACTTCAGTCATGTTGTCAGAAGGGACCAGTCCCTGGAGAACGATATCATGCTTGGTCAAGTCAGCGAGAAAAGGGAGAATTCTCAGCAAGATGGATTCAATGACGGGCTTAAGCATGCAATGATTGTGAATCACAGGACAAGACACAGGACAAGACAGTATTTTGTTCTGTTTAAATAGGGTCACTATGAGTCAAAACCGATTCAGCAGCACCTAACAACAACAACAGCATAACAGTGCTGGTCACATAATGGCACTTTGATTTGTAGGATATAGGTTCAACTGCTGTAACAAAGAGTCTCAGATTAATTGTGGCTTAACCAAGTGTGTTAGACTGGGTTCTCTAGAGAAACAAAAACCAGTAAAGCTTATAGAAAGAGAAATTTATCTTAGGAAAATGGCTCACACACTTATAGAAGCTGGCAAGTCCAAAGTTCTTGGATCAAACGTCAAGCTGGAGGCTTTTCCACATCAAGCTGGAGGCTTCTCCCGACTCTTACAGCTGCAGGGGCTGAGGAGGTCAAGGTTGGCAGGCAGTATACTGGCTGTTGACTCCAACAAATGACGAATCCAAGATCTCCAGGCCAAATGGTGGATTGTTCACTCACGGACAGTTGTAGGCAGCACAGCAGAATCCTGATCCACAGAAGAGTGTCTCTTTTCCCAGGATGTCCATAAATACACTGGAAGCAGGCCACACCCCTAGGGAAACTCCCTTTCAATGGATTGGCTGCTCAAAACATATTCATCTGATCCCGTCATGGGAGTAGCCACATCACAACTGCTTAAACCACACAGAATTGTGGTCCAGCCAAGTTGACAGACAGCTCCAACTATCACACCAAGGTAGAAGGAGCTCTGGTGGCATAGTGCCTAAGACGTCTGACTGCTAACCAGAAGGTTGGTGGTTCACACCCACCAGCCACTCCGCAGAAGGAAGACTAGGCGATCTACTTCCATAAAGATTTACTGCTTCAGAAGCCCAAAGGGGGTCACTGTGAGTCAAAATTGACTCGATGGCAGTGAGCTTTTTTTTTTTTTTTTTTTAACCAAGGTAGAATTTATTTCTCCTCACTTAATAGTTCAGACCAAAGCAACCAGGGCTGGTATGGCAGCCCTAGGTAAGGAGTCTGGGACACAGGCTCCTTCTGTCTTGTTGCTCTGCCATCCCTATTCTGTACTCCTTACTTTCATGGACCAAAATGGCTCCCAACCACATGCACTTTCCAGGATCACGTCTCCTCACACCCTGTTGGTCAGAACCTGACTACAGGTGAAAAGGGCACCTGGGAAATGTAGCCTTGATGTTTGATAAACATTGGCTGTTACTATTTAGCTCTCCGCACCCCACTCATCTCCCATCCCTTGATGCTCATAGGTACATAAACCGGTTCCGTCAGGCTCAGCCCACAAGCCGAGAGGAGCGCCAACCTGCAGGCCTAACCTCAGCTGACTTTTGGTGGCTGAGGACTGAGTCTCCAGATCACATCAGTCAGCTTGCAGCAGGTACCTGCCTAGTGACATCACCTCCTGGCCTAAAATCTTTCCTGATTAGTACCCCTAGAGGCCCTTTCCTCTTGGGCCTCCCTAATTCATTAGGGGGCTTCTCAGCAGGGGCCAGTAAACAAGAAAGAAGACCTAGCACCGCCAAGGTAGCCAGCACATCCCAGGCTGTGGACCTCCTTCAGGAGAGAAACCAGGTAACATTTTCTTCCACCCTTCCCTATCTGGCTGAACTGACAGCATCAGCCCAAGGATAAAATCTGAGCCAATCTCCAGCTCAAGGAAGCTTAAACAAAACGGAGAAATTGTTGGCTAATGCAAGTGAGAAATCTAAAAATTGATGCTTCTGGGCATAGCTTGATGGAGGTGTAAGAACAATGTTGGCAGGAACCTGACTCTCTTAGCTCTGTGTTCCTCTTTCTTGAGTGCAATCTCAAGTAGGCTTTCACCTTGTAGCAGCCAAGATGTTTCCCATTGGCTCTCAACATTCACGTCCCGCCTTAGCTGCTCCATAGAAAGGGGAGGCTTTTCCAATAACCCCCGCCCCCCCCCCCAGGGCTCATTCTCATTGGCTCATTCTTTTTTATTTATTTTTTTAACTGTGATTTGAGTGAAAGTTTACAGAGCAAATTCACTTTCCATACAGCAGTTCACATACACTTTGTCTCATGACATTGACTACAATTTACCCCAATGAAACAGCTCCCCTCCCACTTCCTCCTGATAGTGACCTCTTCCCTGTGTCCATCCCTCCATGCACTCCTGCCCCCTGAGCTGTCTCCCTGTGCATAAACATCATTGGCTCATTCTTGAGGCCAAAGGAGAGAATATTGTGATTGACCAGGCCTAGTCAGGGAAGTAGAGTTAACTCTTCAAACAGCAATGACTGCACATGAGGAGTGTAGATCCACAGAGACCACATGTGAGGGTACCAGGTGGGATGCAGACCTGCACTTCAGGCCATCTAGAGTTCTTTTTCCAGCAGCTTCTAGAGTGAGGCCTGACTCCTCTCACCCCACAGAGCCTCAACACATGGGACTCACCCCTGCTGGACTTGGAGACCCTGAGCCTACAGAGCCGAGCTGATAGGCTGCTCAAACGCAGGTGCCTCCCCCAGCCTGTAACGTCCTCCCCACTCCTGCAGCTCCAGGCCCAGCCCACTCCCTCTAGATCTCTGTTACCTCATTTCTACGTTCTCCCTGCAGCAAGGCCTCCATCTCCTCCTCCCTCAGCCCCAGTGACAGAAGCAGTTCCTCATTCCCCACCACCTCTGATGGCCTCTCACCCTTCTCTGTGACCTTCACCCCTGACACCAGCAAGGACTCTGGCCCCAGAGCACCGGGTAAGTACTGGAAATCAAGGAATAAGGGAAACCTGGATGTGAATCCTGGTACTGCTACTTACCAGTTGTATAACCTTGGACCTCTCTGGGTCTCATTTCCCTGGCTGTAAAACGAGGATAATATTTGTTCTCCCCTTTTATGGGTGTTAACCAAAACCAAAACACCAAACCCTCTGCCGGTGAGCTGATTCTGACGCATAGCAGCCCTCACTGGGTTTCTGAGGCAGTAAATCTTTTTTTTTTTTCCCCCAGACTTTAGATAATTTATTAAGGTCACACAGCCTGAGTGACAGTCAGAACCGGAATTCAAGCATTCTGTTTCCAGAGTTCACATTTATAACCATTATATTCATAACTGTGACTATATAAATATTTTGTTATTGTTCACATAGGACAATATTCTTCACCTTGAAAATGTTTTCATTTTAACATACATAGTTATACACGAAAAAACGTTATTTCTTTAACATTTTTTTGAATAGGCAATTTATAGTCACAACATTCCAAATTAATCTGGTACTTCCCCCCCCCTTTTTTTTATTGTGATTTGGGTGAAGATTTACAGAACAAATTCACTTTCCATACAGCAGTTCACATATACTTTGTCTCATG